TCTCCCAATTGACCTGGACTGTGGGTTCTCCCAGAGGGGAAGGTCTCTGGGCTGTTCCCCAACCCACATGGTGAATCTCTGAGGCAAGAAAATCCGCCAATAAGCGCAGGACCCACCAAGATAGAGGAGGAACTTTGTCACATAACCTAAGTTTGTAGTGTAGATATGGCCATAGGTATATGAAATGTAGGGGACAGGCAACAGGAAAAGTATGAGGCTAGGCCAAGATTCTTTCAGGTGTTTAGGCTCCTGCTTTTGTGGAACTGGGCCTACTATACCCTAAAGGCTCAGGAACAAAGAGGCATATAAAAAGAACCCAATATCATTTAAAAGATGTCATGACTTGAAGATGTATAACTCATGATTTTCAAATTCTTGTGGTTGTCAAGCTATGTTGGGGTTGTAGATGTGTGTTCATAATGTTGTGAAGACCAAAACTATAACTGAGTTCAAAAAAATTAGATAAGTTCCTCAGGATGGGGCCATCAATGGCTATTAGCCAAGATGATCAAGGATGCAACCCAATGTTCTGGGTATCCCTAAACCTCTGACTGCCAAATGCTGGGAGCGGACGATGCAGGGGATGGATCATTCGATGATTGTCTGTTCTGTTCATTCCCTCTGAAGCACCTGGCACTGGCCACTGCCAGAAGACAGGATCCTGGGCTAGATGGACCATTGTTTTGGCCCGCTATTCTTATGTTCAGCAAAAGTTACAGTAGATTTTTGCTTTTAAGAAGGATTTACTATGAGACAGTGTACTGCCCTTATTGAATATTTGAGAATCAAGTTCTACACGCAGGCAGTGATGTGAAAAAGCACTAGGGGTGGATTGAGAGGCAAAATAACAGTTACAAAAGGCAATCCTCAGTAGTGGATCAAATGAAAGCAAAGTTTTGACACCAGGCCAGGAAATAAGTCAGACTGGAAGTCACATGATCCAACAGAATAAACTTGTGCTACAAAAAGTTAGAATTAAAAATTCCAAATTAAAAATCACAGTAAAAAACATAGCAAGTGGTATATTAGAAACACAGAGGTCATTGCTAAGACTATTAGCAACTATTTATTTATAAATATTTTCAATTAGTATTAGTGGATCAAATTTTAAATATTAATCTTCAAGGTCCTTCATTAAATTGGCCACACAACACCTCACTTTTGAAAATGATAACCTCTCTTGGCAGCTGTGTTCCTCAAGAACTAAAAAAACTGTCCACCTCAGCAGGCTATAAAGCTTTCTTTGCAATCGGCAGAACCCTGCACGGATATAAAATTTGTGTCTGCATCCAATCTGTGATGCGCAAACATGGTCCATGGATGTGGTTATCCATGGATTTGTAGGGCTCTAGCAACTGGGCTAGTGCTTTGTAGTTAATTACCACAAGACAACCAAAAATCTCTCTGTTCTGAATGAAATGTAAAATTCACTTATTTGACAACACTCTCACAGCTGCAACTGCAGCAGAAAAAATACGAAGATAAAGCAGGAAAGAGGAAAGCAAGAACAGCCATAACAGGAGGGGAGAAGGAAACTAAGTAAGACTACACAGAAGTAGGGTAAAAAATTGGAGCACCAGCTTACCGTGATCTCTTTTGGGAGATGCTCAGTTGTAGTTGCATCCTTCAATGTCAGATAAGAGATTACTTGCTCTTAAGATAAGACCAGAGAATATCCACAGAGTTAAAAATAATTTAGAAATCATGCAATAAATAAGACAGGGAGAATGATTCTGTGGTTAGAATACAGGACTGGTAGTCAGGAGTTCAGGGTTTGGGTTTCAACAGATTTCTACCCTAGTTTTCCCCATCAGTAAAATAGGGATACTTTCCTGTCCCATAAATGTGTTGGGAACAGTAATTAATTGTTTTTGAAGCTCTTTGACATGCTCAAAAGTCACAGCAGAAATGTATTAAATGGGGATATCAGGTGATATATCTGGCAATGATTTGTGGCACCAGAAATCTACAAGGATTCCTTCTTCTTCCCTCCCAATCTCCTTTCTTCCAAAACTGCAGAATTTCTGCAAGCAGTTATTTTTAATATCTGTTCTACTTGGCCCTTATATTTCATCATACCAAATTTTCTTTTCGCATTAAAAGTCAAACATTTGTAGGCAAGTTACCCACCCTTTATAACTCTAATTTATAAAGAATGTAGCAACCAGTGATAATTACAAATTTTGCAAGCAGGAAAATATTCCATGGATGTGATTGCCGAAATGGATAAGGTGAATGGGGATGGTGTAACAACTGAAATGCTTTTAGGCATACAGTTTTGGGTGTTAATTTTCTCCCTCAAACTGAACAGGGACAGGCCAGGTCCTTACTTGGACAGGAAGCCTCATTGGAACATAAGCTGAAGGAAGTAATGTTTTCTCAGATTGTACTGAACAATGGCCCAGCACGATGGTACATTCTTTCAACTGTCAGCTTCTTGGCTTAAACATGTCTTATAAAAAGCATTTATCTTATTTGCTGCCCCATTCCCCAGTACATGCTACTGCCTGACCAGAACAATTTCCATACCCTTTGTTCATTGAGCTGCTGCTCTACATGATATATGTCATTACTATATTAGATAATGATCTCCTAAGGGGAGGATGGTAATACTACTTTGTAATTTCTGAAGGCGAAAGCCAGTGTCAGTTTTTAAAATGAGACATTAAAATACATGGGGGGGTGGGGGTGGGGAAGGGAGAGTTCAGAGTTGACATTTTGCTCACCACACCAGTAATTTTCTAATCTGTCTCAGAAAAGTAGCGAATAAGACATCAGTCTGTCAGCTGTCCAAATGTGTTGTGTGTAATCTTTGGTGATCTCAAAGTTCCCAGTAGGAAGGTTTCTCTGAAAAATGCTCCACCACAATTGCCAACTTTTTATACTCTCAGCAGTGAGTCGAGAGACTAAATTATCCTCATATTTCAGAATAATATTGGCACATTGAGGTATCTTGCACTTCTACATACTGGACTTGATTCTTGGATAACAGAAGTTTGTTTCTGCGACTATCAATCTGGCACCTTTCACAATCACTGCATTCTATTTTATCTTGAATTTAATGTTATTTCTTTATTGTAGGTACACGGAGGTGTGATGCTGGTGGACCAGATCATGTTAGAATGTATTTGTCTCAATTCACTTGTGTATTAGTGCAGATCAAAGTAATGGTCAGTTGTATAAGAGTGTATTGTGTAGTTAAACTTCATGAAAACTAATGGGATGTTATTTGCATGTTTTCACTTATGTTCCTGTTATAACGTAATAACACACATTTACTTTATGTATACCCCTGCAACTAAACAACCCATCAAAGAAATCTTGTGACACAATAATGAAGGACTTAAACATAGAACGCTAATTTCAAAGCAAGTGGCCATTATATACATGATGGTCAGAGGTCAAAAGACTAGGTACATTCCTCACTCACCATCATCAAAGGAAAAGCCCACATGGGTAGAGACACTGTCAGCTTGCTTTCTATATGATGAAACTATAAATATGGATTCAAAGATCTGACTGGATTGTTCCAGGGAAGTGTTTCAGATGCAAAACAGAGATCCCCAGAGACAATCTGGGTACCCTGAGAGCCTTCTGGGAAACTGGCAGTTTATTACATCATTAACATCATATGGAATTACAAACTGTGACTCACCTGTTAATATATTTTACCTGCGTTAACCTCTCAATAACTAAATTCCTATTGTTAGCTAATAAACTTATAGTTAGTTTCCTATAGAATTGGCTGCCAATGTTGTCTTTGGTGTAAGTTCTGGAGTGCCAATTGATCTGGGATAAGTGGCTAGTCTCTTGGTATGGGTGTGATTTTTGGTTTTAATAACCTTTTACCACAAAGTTCAGTTTGTCTAGGTGGCAAGATACCCTGGCGTCACAGACTGTCCCCTTAGACTTTCCAATTTAAGACTGGTATAATGATCTAGGAGTTTACATTTGTTACTGGTGTGGTGAACTCTAATTATAGAACACACCACCAGCTTGGGAAATCTGCCCTGTTTTCTGGCAGTTGGTCCTGAGATAGACACTCAGTTATGAGCCACTCCAGACAGTATGACAGAAGGTTCTACAAACTGCACTCACTGCACTCACGAATGACAAGCAAAAGTCCAAAATACCATTTTGGTGTCAGAAGATTTTCCCTCTTTCTGACTCCCCGTAGGAAGCTTCCACAACATTCAAATAAAGAGGAGTGCTAGAAATCCTTAAAGACTAAGCAAATCAGTTACTGATAACTTAAACTCCAATGTTCCCAATGTAGTGAAAGTTAAGAATGATTAAATAGTTGGTGTGAATCAAACAATTACATATTCATAATATTGGGGGGGAGGGGAGGAAGAGGTGGTGGTAAGTGAGAAAAGGAAGAGGTCCAAAAGTCATGGCTTCAGGCAAGAGTATCAATCCTGTAATACCTAATGAAAGAATCATGGTAGACTGTAGCTTCATATTTTCCAGCAAGATAAAAGGGGGGAGGGGAGAAGAGAGGCAGGATGAGTTAATGCTAGCCAGATAAGGGTGAAATTTTACAAATCTAAGCTTTCTGAAGAAAACAAGTAATAGTGAGAAAGTTGGTTATTTAATAAATGGAGATGAAATTGACACAAATGACTAATACTACCTCTAAAAATAATGATCAACAAAGAAAATATAGAAAACTGACTAAATAGGAAAGAAAACCCTGTTATTGATAAAGAGATAAGGAAATTAACCACTCTGGAAAATATGGCTCATACAGTATTAACAGAATTAATTAATGAACTTACTCTATGTACCATTGACCATTATTTTCTGAAATGAAATTCAGATAACTGGGAAGTTTCAAAAGACTGGGAAAAAACAAATGAAGTTTTCAAAAAATAAAGTGATCCTTGAAATCCATATATTGAATTTCTATTCCTAACAATGGAACAGATGGGGACAAATTCATGAAATAGCTACAGAACAACAGGACCATAAATGGTAAGTAGAAATTCACACAGGGTAAACTGTGAGGAATTCCAAACACTGGAAAGGGAAAAGAGAGAATTCCAAAGGACCCTGACAAATTAGAAACATGGACAGAAATAATTCAATTGGAAAAATACTAGCTAACAGATCTTAATTCAATTCAATGCACAAACATACAAGGAATGGAAACTTGGAAAGCAGTAATGCTGAAGACTTAAGAATGATAATGGACCAAAAGTTAGACTTGAGCAAGCAAGTATGATTTGGCTCCAATCGAATACAGTTTGCCTACACAAAAAGGATCATTCCACAGAGCAAGGAGGTAGCATTTTCTCTCCATACTGCTCTGGTGAGACTTCACCTAGTAGATTATGTTCAATTTTGGCAACCCATTCCTAGAGATGCTGACAAGTTAGATATCACTCAAAAGAGCAGAGCAACAAAATGACCTTCTGCTGTTTTCTGTATAATCAGGGTGGATAAAAATCAATGATTTAAAAAAAAATCCAATTTTTTTAAATTAAATTGGATTTTTTTTTATAAAATGCTTTTTGAGGGGAAAAACCTCTCGTAATGGAATAGGAATTATAAATTCTAATTCTATAGTATGAGACAATATATTCATGTAAATGAGAACCAATAGTTCATGGATTAAGGTCCCAATCTTATGGGATCCAGAATACATAATGTTGTTTTAGTTAAATAAAAACAATTTAAAAGTCTGTCTG